GCCACAGCTCGAGACACACACACACACAAACTACGTGAATACATAAAACCGCAGGGTCTTGAGTAACAAAAGAAAGCCCTGATGCTAACCAAATCAGAAACGCCACAGCTTGACCGGGGTGTTAGGACCCATGACAGGTTCGTCCAGACACGTTACCCGTTGTCAGTGCGAAGCAAAGAGGATGAACATAACTGTCTTGCCCAGCCACAGAAAAGGATCGATACAGAAGCCAATATTTAAGGTTGTAGTGGATAATCATATACTCCGTAGAGTTATAGATGTTAATTTAGTAGCGTGTATTCCAACTACAGGTAAGATCCATGTAAGTCTGGCGTTAATTAGTAATGACTCTCAGGTGAGCCAGAGAGTGATTCCGTAGTCACGATAAAACAATAAAATAAGATCACTGGCTGACAAAAAGGCAACATAAAAAGGAGCATCCATATTATACATTTATTTCGCACAAAACTTTCAAAAACGTAACCAATATACAAGGACAACACACCATACACTTATAAAAACAGAGGCAACCCGCCACAGCTCGAGAAGCACCAGTCAGCCAGCTAAAATCCAACAAAAGCCTTTCCCTCAAGCCCGATCTGACTTGACCTTATATACAGGTGGCTCCCGCGCTTACTGAGATTTTGCCCATAATGCAGTTAATTTATTCGTTAAAGAGTGTATGGTGAGTTTGAAAAAAGTTCAGAAATACATCAAATAAAAAGAACGATAAAATAGACCAAAAATAGGAAAGTACGAAAAGTGAAAGAAGGGATCCGTGAGAGAAAACGGAGAATCACGAAGGGGAAACGGGAGGGAAACGAAGCTAAGGTGAATTAGTCGAAGACGAAAAGGCAAGAATAAGGTAAGTATGGAATATAAGGTAAGTAGAGTACAAGTAGTGTCATGTATAGTAGGAGTGTGTAGATGTAGAGATAGATCACGGACCAGTGGGAAAGGTAACCCAAAGGAATATAAAACAGGTTTATTCTTATTAAAAAGGCGCAGACACACAGGAAACAGCAAAGCCTCGTCATCTTGCAGGGCGGAGGAGTCCGTAGGTTATCCAAGGAACGATCCGTAACGTCAGGGGAACAGGCGGCCCGAAAGCCTGCGCGATGACCCACCCGCCTGCAGCCAAGGGAAATTCACTACAAAGGTAACTAACTGCATAATATATCAACTATCGGCCTGAATCACAAATGTCAAGGGGAAAAATTTAACCATGACTGTATAAGAAAAGGTTTTAAGAAGGAATATATCAATATTATAAGCACACTGTTACTACAACTATTTATTCCATTGGTTATTTTCATACGATATATACTTAAAATAATTCAGCATAATGTCATCAGTAGACTTAGATATAATATTCAAGGAGAGATGGATGACTACCCTACTTTTATAGTAAACTTTAATTACTTTTGAATGTCTTACTTAAGTTATTCCCGCATTTGTCTTGACTTCCTTTAACTTGTTTTTCTCTTCTCCCTCATACACTATTTATATATAGAGAGATATGTATATATATGTATTATATATATATATATATATGTATGTGTGTGTGTGTGTGTGTGTGTGTGTGTGTATAATACATATACATATATATATATATATATATATATATATATATATATATATATATATATATATATATATATATATATATATATATATATATATATATATATATATATATATATATATATATATATATATATATGTGTGTGTGTGTGTGTGTGTGTGTGTGTGTGTAATTGCATGTGTGTGTGTATTACCATCTGCCGCGTCTTCTCGCTTCCCGCATCCTCAGACTGCTCCCGTAAGCCGGCCACCCTTGGCACAGACCGCCTGACCCTTGACCTGTTCTCGTTTACCCAAATGAGAGGATGAAATCGATACTGATTTCGAAAATGTCACTTTTCAATGAGTTCAGATTTTGTGAGTTGGGTATTTTACTATGATTATCATTGTATTTGTTAATGTTAGTATTATGGTAATAATAGTCAATGTCATTAATACAACTATTTATTATCATTTTCATTATAATTTTCGATGTCATCATCATTATTTTCCTTATTAGTATTAATTTATCATTATCATGTTCATTGTCCTTAGTACTATAATTTCCAATACCATTGATATGATTTTTGTTGTCGTTATTACCACTATCATAAATTTTATTGCTGTTATTATTTCTGCTTTTGTTATCATCAGCATTAATCATAAAAGCTTGGAGATGGGAGAGAAAAGATAGGCATATTCTATGTATTTCATATCATGCTATCTCAACCAGGATGGATAACATCACACTGATTCGTCACTCTCATCTTCTAGTGTTGACGCGTCGCTGTCTTCTTGAGGTGACTCCTCGGATGCCACCTCGCCCTCGGCTGCCACCTCGCCCTCGGCTGCCACCTCGCCCTCGGCTGCCACCTCGCCCTCGAACCTTTTCCTGCCCTTTGCCGCACCTTTCCCCTCGTGCCTGCTGCCTCCGGACGCTCATCCCTGCCCGCTGCTGACAAAGGCTCGTCGTCCTCCGGTGCCTTCCTGGCCTTGCCCTTTCTGCCAGTTGCTTGCCGAGGCTTGTCTCCCCCGCCTGCCGCTGCTTTCGCCCCGTCCCTGGCAGCTGCTGGCGGAGTGTCGCCGCTGCCAGCTGCTCCCCGAACCCTCCTCCTCCCGCCCACGGCCGAGGGCTCGCCAGCGCCCGGCGCCTCGGGGTCTCGAGGCGGCTGCAGGTCCGGCAGGAGAAGAGGCGCGAGTTAGAAACACCTCGGAAGGATCTTCACACTCAGTCGCGCTCCGAATTCTCAGCTCACACACATACACATATACATATATATGTATATACATGAATATATATATTCAAATATATACCCATACATAAATACACACACACACGCGCACACACACACAGATATATACATACTATATATATGTATACATATGCATATACATGTATATAGAAATATGTATGTATGTATTCACAGAAACATTTTAATAGAAACTAATTGAATCGCTGACACACTTGCCTCCATTTCTTGCAGACGAAAATATTCCATCGCAGAAAGAACGTCTTTCATTTTCTCTTCCTGCTCGCGCACCTGCCTCTGAAGTGAAGAAATGAGAAAATTACATGTATTTTCTTCTCTTGTTGTTTATCATTGTTTGATAAGATCTGAACCCTTGCCTCCCTCCCTCCCTGCAGACTGCAGTTGCATAGAAATAGCCTTTATTTCACCCGACGGAGAGGGAAGCGTCTGGACGCGGGGCACTCACCATCATTCGCTTCAGCAGGCTGTCTTCCTCCTCGGACTGCGGGTCGACTTCTTTTTCTTCTTCTTTGGTCTCTTAGTTTCTTCTGAAGAAAAGGTTAATTTCCTTGTCCTTATTTTTTCATTACTATTATTTTTATCATTATTATTTTTTATCATTATTATTATTTTTATCATCATTATTATTTTTTCATCATTATCATTGTTATTTTTGTGTATATATATACATATATATAATAAACTCGCCCCTACCTTGAGGTCCTCGATCTTCTTGTCTCGTCTCTTGAGTTCGCTCTCAAGCTCGCCTCTGTCCTCGGCTGCCTCTTTCTCTTTCCTCTTCTCCCTTTTTTTGAGGTTCTTCACCCTTTTCTCGTGATCTGCCTGGAAACGAACACTCTATGAGTACTGCGGCATGGAACACCTGCTTGTGTTGACGATTGGCTTTCTCTGTGCGCGCACTCCAGCGGTTCCTTGGCTTCCAAAGGGAGGACTTACCTCGGCTTGCAACAGGAACAACGAGGGGAAGAGCGAGAAAAAACACGGATATGCCGAAGACCTTTTCGCTTCACTGCTTCATCAGGGCACACACTCATGCCCTGACGAAGCAGTAAAGCGAAAAGGTCTTCGCCATATCCGTGTTTCCTTGTTCTTCCCTTCGCTGTTCCTGTTGCAATCTGTTCGACATGAATCCCTTACCTCGGCTTGCGTGAGCTCGCTCTCCTTCTCTGCGATCTGCGTCGTCAGCGCTAGATTCTTGCGCGATTCTTCTTCCAGATGAGACTGCGGGGGAAGGCAAGGTTATTGTGTCTCCTTTCTCCTCTGTTCCCCTCCTCCAACCTCCTTTTCTTTCATTATCTATCTATTTATCTATCTGTTCATCTACTGGTTTATTTATCCGCCTCTGTGTGTGCCTATATATTTATCTACTCCTCTCTCTTTGGTTTTCTCACCCTACCTCCTTTTTCTTTTATCTATCCCTCTCTGTCTCTATTTTTCTATTCATCTGTATATGCACATCTTTTATGTCTTTATCTCTTCCGCTCACCTTTTTCTTTCTCTCTATTTCTCTTTCTATCTCTCTTTCTCCCTTTCTCTCTCTCTCTTCTCTCCCTCCCTGCCTCTCTTTATCTGTTTATCACATTTCTCTTCCCTCCACCCTCACTCTATACCCTTCTCTCTCTCTCTCTCTCAGATTTATTCCCTTGTGTTTATTCACTCTGATGAAAAGATACATATATACATACAGGTGGATGCACTACATATACGTCTATGTGGTACCAACTTAATATATGCACATATGCTATTGATATAGCATGTAACAAAAGTATCGCTGCAAGTCTGTATCTGATCACACGGCTGACAACTCACCTGGAGAGTTGCAATGCGTTCCTCAAGGCCTGCGATTTGCGCATTGAAGCCTTCCCTCTCGGCCTCTCTCTCGCCCCTTTGCCGGTCCCTTCGCGCCTTCTTCACCTGGCCCTGAAGCAGTCAAGCTTGGTCAGGATGTTTCGAACGGAATCAAACTTTTACTTTGCTTCCTCCCCGTGTTATGTCCCCATCCCACCTCCTTTCTCCCCGTCTTTCTCTCCTACCTTTTACCCGTTTCTCATTCCTTTTTCCACTTTGTCTTCCACTCTCTTTTTCTCTCTCACCTCCTGTATCTTTCTCTCCCTCTCCCTCTCAGCTTTTCTCTTTCCCCTCTCTTCATCTCCCTTACATACCTCTAGCTTTTTTATCTCCTCTTCCTTTCTCCCTATCTCTAGCATCAGGTCTCCCTTCTCCCTCTTCAGGTCGTATGCCTCGTCCTCCTTGGCGTTGTAGGCTGTGTTCGTGTCCCGCATCTTGGCCTCGCACTCGGTCTGCGGAGGAGACGACGCGCGTCAGGAATGCTTCTCCGCTAAGGGAACCAGATGCCCGAGACCTGTATCCTCTCTCTGTGCACGTACCTCTACTTGTTTGATTTCTGCTTCCTTTTCCTTCAGTTTCTCTTTGATGTCTCCGTTTTCCTTCTGCAGGTTGGCCGCCTCCGCCGCTTTCGAGTCGTAGTCGGCAGAGTCGTGCAGGTAAAAGTCGGCAGAGTCGTACTAAGTCGTGCAAGTCGGCAAAAAAAAGTCGTAAAGTCGGCCACCAAAAAAAAGTCGTACTTCTTCTGCATCTCTTTCTCCTGCTCGAGAAGCGGGTCAGAGTGATCAGTTATTCTTAATCTACACAACATAATTCACCTTTAATTTTTATCACTGTATTTAATATCATGATCTTTCTCTGAGTGCTCTGCATATCCACACGACATGACTGACCTGCATCTTCCTCCTCTCCTTCTCCGCCGCAGCACTTTCCTTCGCCTGAAAAGTAACTCGGTTTAGTGGACTCTACATAGAACATTCAATGATTTCAAAAAGAACATTCGTTTCAGTTCTCGACTAATAAACAGCAGTAAGGGCGGCCAGCGACCACGGCGCCCAGCCTGGCACCAGCACTGGGGCGCAAAGCATGGCAGCGAAAACCAAGACTCCATATCGCCCGTCTGGTTGCCGGCTGCCATTACCATGGAGAAGACTCTGTCAGCGGAAGTTGTCCCCAACAGGTCCTGTGGTGCCGGCTGTCCATTCACGCCCCGAGGCCAATCAGGGCGCCCACCGCCAGAAGCTTCCCATTTGAAGCTGCGTCGTGGAGAGGCGTGTTGCCCTTATTGCAGACGGGGTCCACGTCGGCCCCGCTCGCCGCGAGAGCTTCCAGTGTCCTCCAATGTCCACTCCGACCTGCCCAATGCATCGGTGTTGACCCTGAAAATAGAAGAGATGAAGAGGCGATCAATGCCTTCGCTTAATAAGCTCCGCCCACCGAACAAGTCATTTAATGTCATCAGGATATTAATGATAATGATGACAATAGTGTGAAATGATAAAAAAAAAAAAAAAATGTAAAACCAAAAATAACAATAATAATAAAAGTAATAATAAGATCAACAATGATAAGGAGAATGATACTTGTAGAAATATATAGATAACATCAATGACAATTATAATACAAATAATAATAATTATACCAATAATGATATTAGTTGTTATCAGAATAATAAATGCAATAAGTAATATCTTTATATATATATATAATATATATAATATATATATATATATATATATACATATATACATATATACATGTGTGTGTATGTTTATATATATACACATACATACATATATATACATATATGTGTACATATACATACATACATATATATACATACATATACACACAACACATATGTATATATTATATATATACATATGTATATATATACATATGTATATATATACATACATATATATGCATATATATATGTATATATATACATACATACATACATACATATATATAAATATATATATGTTTATATATACATACATACATACATATATATATATATAATACATATATATATATATATATACACATACATACATACATATATATATATATATATATATATATATATATATATGTATATACATATATATATATATATATATATATATATATATATATATATATATATATATATATGTATATACATATACATACATACATATATATATATATATATATATATATATATATATATATATATACATACATACATAAATAAATATACACACATATATATACATATATGCATATATGTAATACATATATATATATTTATATGTATATATATATATATATATACATACATATACATATACATATATATATATATATACATACATATACATACATACATATATATATATATATATATATATATATATATATATATATATATATATACATATATTTACATATATATATATATATATATATATATATATATATATATATATATATATATATGTATATGTATATATGTATATATATATATATATATGTATACGTATGTATGTATGTACGTAATCATGATAACAATAGTATATAGTGACGACGACAGCAACAACAATAATAATTTACAATGATAGTATTAATCATATCAATAACTATGATAATATTAAATAAACATTATGATGATAGATGATATCGATGATGATAATATAATAAACAAATAATAACATGATAATTAAAATACAATCACCACTACTAAAACCAATAATAATAATAACAGGAACAGACACAACAATGAAAATAATGCTGACTATCATGACAAAAATGTCAAAGATAATATTTAACTGTTCATGAAAATAACAATGACAATAATGATAATAGAATACAATGAATAATAATAATAATTACAACAAAATAATTAGGGAAATATATGGTGGCTGGAACAATTACTCGACTGATATCAGTGTCATATCTTATATCTTACCTTTAATAACTAATTTATTCTTTTATGATTTATCTTTTTTTCTGTTATTTTTTTGTTGTCTCATTATTTTATTATCTCATTTCATCTTTTATTAGATCATCTTTTTATTTCTTATTGTCTTATTACTTTATATTTTTGTATCCCTTTTTTTACTATTTATTAATTCAATGCTTTATTCCCTTATCTTTAACTTCTTATACGTGTATCTACTCACATACTAATTCTATATCCTTGTTCTTTTCACTCTTTTATATTGCATTTCTATTTGTCATTTATTTTATGTTTTCCTTTCTTATATCTTTGATTTGTTATTACTTTTTATTTACTTATTATTATCATATTCTTTTATAGATACTTTATTGGTTTTCTGTTTGCTTTTTTCCATTGCATTCATCGCCATCATTATTACTATCATAATTATTTCATTGTTATTATTATCTTCATTGTTACTTTCACGGTATAAGGGCGTCCTTCCCGAGGAGAGAGGAGAGGAAGGAAGAGGCGGAGGAGAGAGAGAGTAAGGAAGAGGAGAGAAGGAAAAGAAAAGAAAGGAGAAAGAGAGACTTGCACTAAGAGGGAGGGAAAGGAGACAGAGGGAAGGGCGAAGGGAGGAACGAAGAGTGGAGGACGAAGAGCGGAGGAGAAACAGATAAGAATGGGGGATAAGGAAGAATAAAGAAATGAGGAGGCAGAGCAGAGAGTAGGAAAGAAAAGAGAGGGAATGGCGATTGGGAGAAAAGGGAAGAGAGAAAAAAGGAAAGGAAGAAGAGAAGAAGGGGAGAGAGAAAAAGAAAAGGGAATAAAGAAAAGAGGGAGAAAAAAGGAGGAATATAGGAGAAAAGAAGAGAACGGAAGTCAGAAAATGAGGAGAGAAAAAAGACAGAGAAAAGATGCAAATGAAAGAGGAAGCGGGGAACAGAGCAAGACAGCAGAACAAGAGGATTATAAAGAAGAGGAACAAGAAGGGGAGTGAGAATATAGCAGAGAAGGAAGAGGAGAAAGAGACAGAGTGAAAGTGGAAGAGAAGAAAATGCATAGAGGAAGACGAAAAATAAAGAAAGGAGAGAGCTGAATAGGAGACAGTGGGTTAGGGAGAGAGGGGAAAAGCAAAGAAAAAAGGTAGAGCAAAGAGAGAAGAAGGGAGGAAGAAGTGAGGTAGAGGAAGGGAATGAGGGAAGAATCAGGAAGAGACAGAGGAAAGGAGGGAAAATGGGGAAGAAGAGACGAGAGAGTGAAAGGGATGATTAGAAAGAAGAGAAAGACAATAGAAAGAAGAAGCGAGGAAGAAGTAAAGAAGAGAGAAATGGAGAGAGAGAGAGGGACGGAACGAGAGAGAGAGAAAGAGAGAGAGAGAGAGAGAAACAGGCAGAGAGAGACGGAAAAGAAGAGAAAAATGTCTATCATTAGAACTAGTAATATTTAGGAAAACAATATAAAAAAAATATTGACAGTAATAATGATAATGATAATAATAATAAGAAAGAAGAATGATGAAAAAATAATGATAATAACGAAGATAATTATAACTGATGTTGATAATGATAATGATGATGAATTATGAAAATGATAAAACTATAAAGATATGATAAAAAAACGCATAATAACGATAATCGTAATGACAGACATAAAGATAATAGCAACAATATTGATGATAATAATAACAATGGGTAATAATAATGATGATTATATTGATAACAATAATAAGGAATAATAATAATCACAATAACCACAATGCCAAAAAAAATCATAATGATAGCAAAACAATACAATTATTTAAATAATAATATCATATACCAAGAGAAATAATAACAATAAAGACAAGGACAGTAATAAAGATAATGAAAATATTAATAATGAAAAATAATGCATAAAATAACAATGACAATGATAATAATAACAATAAAAATAATAAAAATGATTATAATTATAACAGTAATAACAATAATGATAACATTTGTCATCATAATGATAATAATCCTTGTCATCATAATGATAATAATCCATGTCATCATAATGATCATCATTCTATTCATCATCATATTAATAATCGTCATCATCATCATAATAATGATAAAATAAAACTCCCGAAAATGAAAGCCAAGGAAGACGCTAACAACGGTTCCGAACACGCGGTCAGCCTGGCTGCGCGCTCCTTGCGAGGGACGGCGCATGGGTCGAGGGACGCCACCAACTTTCGGGGAAACTTCAAGAGAAGGATTCGCTGCACAGCGACGCAGCGACAAGAGCCACGGAACAGGATTCGTGGAGCCGCAACGCCTTCAGTAGCGTCTCTCTCGCTCCTCGTCCTTCCATCTGCCATTCTCTTCTTCCTCTCTCTCTCTCTCTCTCCCCTACCCCCTTCTCTCTCTCTCTCTCTCTCTGTCTCTCTTCTCTTTTAGCAATCTTGCCGACCAGCATTCGATCCCCCGCGCTGCCAGTGGATGGCAACCCGGCCATTCCTTGGTTAGGTTAGATTAGGTTAGGTCACAGCAAAGATTATCCATTGTAACAATGGGAAGTAAACTAAACCTTTTCTATATCTCTGTATGTATGTATATGCACACACTCCCATATATATATATATATATATATATATATATATATATATATATATATATACACAAATACATATATAAACATCTATATATACATATAGATAGCAAGATATGAGTATACGTGTCTCCTCTTCCTTACTCTTTTTTTTTCTCCCCTCTTTCTTTCTTGCTCCATCTCCCATCTCCACTCTTTCCATTTGCTCTCTTCTCTCTGTGTCTCTCTTGTTCCTCCTTTTACACTCTCACTCTCCTCTTCCTTCCCATCTCTTATTACACCCCTCTCTCCCTTCATCGTATTCTCTTTTTCTTTTTCTTTTTCCACCTCTTCCTCTCTCTATCTCTCTCTCCTTCTCCCTCTCTCTCTCTCTCTCACTTACTCACTCACTCACTCTCTCTCCACGCACTCAGATCATTTGGCGATTTTGTCAAACATAATAAATCTCGAGATCAAATATTGGCTCTGGGAAACTGACTAATTGGCAACCTCCCCAACAGCGCACGCTTTGACTGAGACAAAAATGACGTTCAAAGCACAGAATAACAGCTCAAAACACTAGTTATCATAAACATCATCGGATGTGTGGAGAACAGTCGCGGGGTGCCCTCAATATGCAAAATACTGGCATGCAAACCACTTTTTCTCTCACTAAGAGCGCGGGACCATGGCGAAAGGTGCCAATGAGTCAATTTTCCGGAGAGACTATTTCCTCTCGAGACACTGCTTGGTTCCACGAATCGCAAAATGAAATGGAGAAGAAAAATCCATTTCGATTTGAACTGCTTGTGTGTCTCATGGGATGAGGAGGATCTTAATACTATTATGTTGAGAAAGCAATATTGATAATGATTATAATAATGATAATTGTAACAATAATAATAAGTGACAACAATGATAATACTAATAATTATTATAATGATAATAATAATGATAATATTTTGTTTATATATATTATTGCCTTTATTAGGACATTTACTTTCACTATTATCATTACTATTCTAAGGACAATGATATACAACAGTATTGATAAAAAAAAAAGAAAAACAAACAAACAAACAATGATACAACTAATAACTGTAAGAAAAGAATTGTTCCTGTTGCCTTACCAAAGCATCTTTATCATTATTATTGTTCTTTGTTATCTTTTATCTTCAGTTATTTTCTTATGTTTCTTCATTGATCATTTTCGCATATTTATTGTTTTGTTTTCATTGTTACTCTGTTTTAGTTTGTTTCGTTTTTAATTTTTTATTCTTATGTTTATTTTTTTTATCTTTATTATTATCATTATTATTCCATTATTTTTTATCATCATTATCATTACTATCATAATTATTATTACAATTATCACTTTCTATGAAAATGGGCATCATAGTAAGGAGGAAATAAGGAAGAGCTGAGAACTAGGAAGGAAGATGAAAGAATGGAAAAGAAAAGAAGGGATAAAGAGAGAATAACAGTGAGAGGGAGGGAATGGAGAGAGAGGAAAGAGTGAAGGGAAGAACGAAGAGCGGAGGAGACACGGAGAAGAATGAGGAAAAGGGATTAAAGAAGAGCAGAAAGTAGGAGAAAAGAAGGAAGAGGGAAAAAGGAATGGGAGAAAAAGGGAGTAAGAAAGAGAAATAAGAATAGAAAAAAGAAGAAGGGGACAGAGTGAAAGGGGGGTAGAGAAGAGAGTGATGGAGAAAAAAAGAGGAAGAAAAGAGAAAACAGAAAAAAGGCCAGTAAAGGAATAAAGAGATGAAGGAAGGAAGAGAGAAAATAGAGAAGAAGAGTCAAGGAGAAAGACGACAGAGAAAAGATGTAAGGAAGCATAATGAGAGCGGAGAGTAGAGAAAGACAAAAAAAAAAAAAAAAGAGGAAGAGGAGAAAGGGGTGGGAGGGGGTGAGAGATTCAAAAGAAGAGAAATGGAGAGAAAGTGGATAAGAAAAGTAAACAAAGAGGAAAGATGGATGTAGGCCTACTAAATGAGGATGGTCAAAATGGTTAACCTCATGTGCGTGTGTTTACGTACATATGATCGTCCTTGAAAATCATGAACTCCCTGTGACCATCCCCCCCCCCTGGCTGACAAACTGGTAATAAAATAATAAATAAATAATCAATAAAAATCTATCCATGACTTTTTGAGTTATCCTGTTAACCGACAGACAAAGAAACTAAAACGCTGATGATTGCAACAACAATGATAACGATAACAATAAGAACAATTATAACAATAGAAATATTAGTCATTAATAATAATAACAGCAATGATAATGATATTATTGATATTATCCTTATTATGATACTTCCATTATTTTTTTTCATTACTATTTTAATGATAAAGAATAATAATACTGATAAAAAACAAGAATATAACCAAAAACAATTGCAAGAATAGAATTGTTGCTCCTGTTGCCTTACCGAAGCGTTATCATTATTATCATTATTATTGTTTGATTTTCTTTTATTATCATCTTTCTTCTTTTGCTACTTCATTTATCTTCATATATTTTTATTGTTTTGGTGTTTTATTTGTGCATTCTCTTTTAGTATAAATATTTTTTTTATTTCTAACTTTTATTCTTTATGTTTCTGTTTCCTTTTTTTTTATTACCATCATCATTCCATTATCATTATTATCGTTATTACTTTTATTATTATTATTATTATTATTATTATTATTATTATTATTATTATTCCTATTATCATCATTACAATTGTTACTTTCTATGAAAATGACAAAGAATAATAATAATGACTTTAAAGATAATAACAATACAATCAATGATGACAGTAAGAAGAGAAATGTCGCTCCTGTCGACTTACCAAGGCAGTCTCTGGCGTTGAGGTCGCCGCCCTTCTCCGCCAGGAATTGGACGACAGAAAGGTGTCCGTTCCTGGCAGCGAAGTGAAGGGCGGTACTGCGGGAGGAAGAAGCTTGTGTCAACCGTCGTGTTGATGGGTGATGGGAATGAGGATGGAAATGGAAGCGAAAGGGAGGATGAAAAGGGGGATGGGCATCATAGTAAGGAGGAAGTAAGGAAGAGTGAGAACTAGGAAGGAAGAGGAAGGAATGGAAAAGAAAAGAAGGGATAAAGAGAGAATAACAGTGAGAAGGAGGGTATGGAGAGAGAGGAAAGAGTGAAGGGAAGAACGAAGAGCGGAGGAGACACGGAGAAGAATAATGAAAAGGGAATAAAGAGAAAGCAGAAAGCAGGAGAGAAGGAAGAGGCATAAAAGGGAGTAAAAGAGAGAAATAAGAATGGAAAAAGAAGAAGAGGAAAGAGTGAATGGAGGTAGAGAAGAGAGTGATGGAGAAAAAAAAGAGGAAGAAAAGAGAAAAGAGAAAAAATGTCAGTAAAGGAATAGAGAGATGAAGGAAGGAAGAGAGAAAATAGAGAAGAAGAGTCAAGACAGAGAAAAGATGTAAGGAAGGAAAATGAGAGTGGAGAGTAGAGAAAGACAAAAAAGATGAAGAGGAGAAAGGGGTGGGAGTGGGTGAGAGATTCAAAAGAAGAGAAATGGAGAGAAAGTGGATAAGAAAAGTAAACAAAGAGGAAAGATGGATGTAGGCCTACTAAATGAGGATGGTCAAAATGGTTAACCTCATGTGCGTGTGTTTACGTACATATGATCGTCCTTGAAAATCATGAACTCCCTGTGACCATCCCCCCCCCCCTCCCCCTGGCTGACAAACTGGTAATAAATCAATAAATAAATCAATCAATAAAAATCTATCCATGACTTTTTGAGTTATCCTGTTAACCGACAGACAAACCAATGGACAAAGAAACTGATTGCAACAATGATAATGATAATAACAATAAGAATGATTATAACAATAGAAATTAAAGTCGTTAATAATAATAACAATAATGATAATGATATTATTGATATTATCCTTATTATGATACTTTCATTATTATTTTTATTACTATTTTAATGATAAAGAATAATAATAGTGATAAAAAACAAGAATATAACCAAAAACAATTGCAAGAATAGAATTGTTGCTCCTGTTGCCTTACCGAAGCGTTATCATTATTATCATTATTATTGTTTGATTTTCTTTTATTATCATCTTTCTTCTTTTGCTACTTCATTTATCTTCATATTTTTTTATTGTTTTGGTGTTTTATTTGTGCATTCTCTTTTAGTATATATATATATTTTTTATTTTCTAACTTTTATTCTTCTTTATGTTTCTGTTTTCTATTTTATTTTTTTATTGTTACCATCATTCCATTACCATTATTATTGTTATTACTTTTGTTATTATTATTATTATTATTATTATTATTATTATTATTATTCCTATTATCATCATTACAATTGTTAATTTCTATGAATATGACAAAGAATAATAATAATGACTTTAAAGATAATAACAATACAATCAATGATGACAGTAAGAAGAGAAATGTCGCTCCTGTCGACTTACCAAGCGGCTTCTGGCGTTGAGGTCGCCGCCCTTCTCCGCCAGGAATTGGACGACAGAAAGGTGTCCGTTCCTGGCAGCGAAGTGAAGGGCGGTCTCGTCTGCGGGAGGAAGAAGCTTGTGTCAACCGTCGTGTTGATGGGTGATGGGAATGAGGGTGGAAATGGAAGCGAAAGGGAGGATGAAAAGGGGGATGGGCATCATAGTAAGGAGGAAGTAAGGAAGAGTGAGAACTAGGAAGGAAGAGGAAGGAATGGAAAAGAAAAGAAGGGATAAAGAGAGAATAACAGTGGGAAGGAGGGAATGGAGAGGGATGAAAGAGTGAAGGAAGGAACGAAGAGCGGAGGAGACAGAGAAAAATGATGAAAAGGGATTAAAGAAGAAGAGCAGAAAGTAAGAGAGAAGGAAGTGAGGAAAGGAATATGAGAAAAAGGGAGTAAGAAAGAGAAAGAAGAATAGAAAAAAGGGGAAAGAGTGAAAGGGATTGATGGAGAAAATAAGAGGAAGAAAAGAGAAAGGAGAAAAAAATGTCAGTAAAGGAATAGAGAGATGAAGGAAGGAAGAGAAAACAGAGAAAAGACAAGGAGAAAGACGACAGAGAAAAGATGTAAGGAAGGAAAATAAGAGCGGAGAGTAGAGAAAGACAAAAAAGATGAAGAGGAGAAAGGGGTGGGAGGGGGTGAGAGACTCAAAAGAAGAGAGAAATGGAGAGAAAGTGGATAAGAAAAGTAAACAAAGAGGAAAGATGGATGTAGGCCTACTAAATGAGGATGGTCAAAATGGTTAACCTCATGTGCGTGTGTTTACGTACATATGATCGTCCTTGAAAATCATGAACTCCCAGTGACCATCTACCCCCCCCCCCCCGCTAAGACAAACTCTGGTAATAGATAAATAAATAAAGAAAAAATAAACCAATAAAAATCTATCCTTAACTTTTTGAGTTATCCTGTTAACCGACAGACAAACCAACGGACAAGGAAACTAACCAACGCTGATGATTGCAATGATGATAATAATAATAGTGACAACAATGATAACGATAACAATAAGAACAATTATAACAATAGAAATATTAGTCATTAATAATAATAACAGCAATGATAATGATATTATTGATATTATCCTTATTATGATACTTCCATTATTTTTTTCATTACTATTTTAATGATAAAGAATAATAATACTGATAAAAAACAAGAATATAACCAAAAACAATTGCAAGAATAGAATTGTTGCTCCTGTTGCCTTACCGAAGCGTTATCATTATTATCATTATTATTGTTTGATTTTCTTTTATTATCATCTTTCTTCTTTTGCTACTTCATTTATCTTCATATTTTTATTGTTTTGATGTTTTATTTGTGAATTCTCTTTTAGTACAATATTTTTTTATTTTCTAACTTTTATTCTTTATGTTTCTGTTTCCTTTTTTTTTTTTATTACCATCATCATTCCATTATCATTATTATCGTTATTACTTTTATTATTATTATTATTATTATTATTATTATTATTATTATTATTCCTATTATCATCATTACAATTGTTACTTTCTATGAATATGACAAAGAATAATAATAATGACTTTAAAGATAATAACAATACAATCAATGATGACAGTAAGAAGAGAAATGTCGCTCCTGTCGACTTACCATCACGGTCTCTGGCGTTGAGGTCGCCGCCCTTCTCCGCCAGGAATTGGACGACAGAAAGGTGTCCGTTCCTGGCAGCGAAGTGAAGGGCGGTCCATTCTGCGGGAGGAAGAAGCTTGTGTCAACCGTCGTGTTGATGGGTGGTGGGAATGAGGATGGAAATGGAAGCGAAAGGGAGGATGAAAAGGGGGATGGGCATCATAGTAAGGAGGAAGTAAGGAAGAGTGAGAACTAGAAAGGGGGAGGAAGGAATGGCAAAGAAAAGAAGGGATAAAGAGAGAATAACAGTGAGAAGGAGGGAATGGAGAGAGATGAAAGAGTGAAGGAAGAACGAAGAGCGGAGGAGACAGGAGAAAAAATGATGAAAGGGATTAAAGAAGAAGAGCAGAAAGTAAGAGAGAAGGAAGTGAGGAAAGGAATATGAGAAAAAGGGAGTAAGAAAGAGAAAGAAGAATAGAAAAAAGGGGAAAGAGTGAAAGGGATTGATGGAGAAAAAAAGAGGAAGAAAAGAGAAAAGAGAAAAAAATGTCAGTAAAGGAATAGAGAGATGAAGGAAGGAAGAGAAAACAGAGAAAAGACAAGGAGAAAGACGACAGAGAAAAGATGTAAGGAAGGAAAATAAGAGTGGAGAGTAGAGAAAGACAAAAAAGATGAAGAGGAGAAAGGGGTGGGAGGGGGTGAGAGACTCAAAAGAAGAGAGAAATGGAGAGAAAGTGGATAAGAAAAGTAAACAAAGAGGAAAGATGGATGTAGGCCTACTAAATGAGGATGGTCAAAATGGTTAACCTCATGTGCGTGTGTTTACGTACATATGATCGTCCTTGAAAATCATGAACTCCCAGTGACCATCCCCCCCCCCCCGCTAAGACAAACTGGTAATAATAAATAAATAAAAAAAAATAAATCAATAAAAATCTATCCTCTTTTTGAGTTATCCTGTTAACAGACAAACCAACGGACAAGGAAACTAACCAACGCTGATGATTGCAATGATAATAATAATAGTGACAACAATGATAACGATAACAATAAGAACAATTATAACAATAGAAATATTAGTCATTAATAATAATAACAGCAATGATAATGATATTATTGATATTATCCTTATTATGATACTTCCATTATTTTTTTCATTACTATTTTAATGATAAAGAATAATAATACTGATAAAAAACAAGAATATAACCAAAAACAATTGCAAGAATAGAATTGTTGCTCCTGTTGCCTTACCGAAGCGTTATCATTATTATCATTATTATTGTTTGATTTTCTTTTATTATCATCTTTCTTCTTTTGCTACTTCATTTATCTTCATATTTTTTATTGTTTTGATGTTTTATTTGTGAATTCTCTTTTAGTACAAATATGTTTTTATTTTCTAACTTTTATTCTTTATGTTTCTGTTTCCTTTTTATTACCATCATCATTCCATTATCATTATTATTATTTTTATTATTATTTTATTATTATTTTTATTATTATTATTATTATTATTCCTATTATCATCATTACAATTGTTACTTTCTATGAATATGACAAAGAATAATAATAATGACTTTAAAGATAATAACAATACAATCAATGATGACAGTAAGAAGAGAAATGTCGCTCCTGTCGACTTACCAACGTCTCTGGCGTTGAGGTCGCCGCCGTTCTCCGCCAGGAATTGGACGACAGAAAGGTGTCCGTTCCTGGCAGCGAAGTGAAGGGCGGTCTCGTCTGCGGGAGGAAGAAGCTTGTGTCAACCGTCGTGTTGATGGGTGGTGGGAATGAGGATGGAAATGGAAGCGAAAGGGAGGATGAAAAGGGGGATGGGCATCATAGTAAGGAGGAAGTAAGGAAGAGTGAGAACTAGGAAGGGGGAGGAAGGAATGGAAAAGAAAAGAAGGGAAAAGAGAGAAATACAGTGAGAAGGAGGGATGGAGAGAGAGAAAGAGTGAAGGGAAGAACGAAGAGCGGAGGAGACACGGAGAAGAATAATGAAAAGGGGAATAAAGAAAAGAGCAGAAAGCAGGAGAGAAGGAAGAGGCATAAAAGGGAGTAAGAGAGAAATAAGAATGGAAAAAGAAGAAGAGGAAAGAGTGAATGGGAGGTAGAGAAGAGAGTGATGGAGAAAAAAAAGGAAGAAAAGAGAAAAGAAAAAAATGTCAGTAAAGGAATAGAGAGATGAAGGAAGGAAGAGAGAAAATAGAGAAGAAGAGTCAAGACAGAGAAAAGATGTAAGGAAGGAAAATGAGAGGGAGAGTAGAGAAAGACAAAAAAGATGAAGAGGAGAAAGGGGTGGGAGTGGGTGAGAGATTCAAAAGAAGAGAAATGGAGAGAAAGTGGATAAGAAAAGTAAACAAAGAGGAAAGATGGATGTAGGCCTACTAAATGAGGATGGTCAAAATGGTTAACCTCATGTGCGTGTGTTTACGTACATATGATCGTCCTTGAAAATCATGAACTCCCTGTGACCATCCCCCCCCCCCCCCCATGGCTGACAAACTGGTAATAAATAAATAAATAAATAAATAAATAAAAAAATCTATCCATGACTTTTTGAGTTATCCTGTTAACCGACAGACAAACCAATGGACAAAGAAACTGATTGCAACAATGATAATGATAATAACAATAAGAATGATTATAACAATAGAAATTTTAAAGTCGTTAATAATAATAACAATAATGATAATGATATTATTGATATTATCCTTATTATGATACTTTCATTATTATTTTCATTACTATTTTAATGATAAAGAATAATAATAGTGATAAAAAAACAAGAATATAACCAAAAACAATTGCAAGAATAGAATTGTTGCTCCTGTTGCCTTACCGAAGCGTTATCATTATTATCATTATTATTGTTTGATTTTCTTTATTATCATCTTTCTTCTTTTGCTACTTCATTTATCTTCATATTTTTTTATTGTTTTGGTGTTTTATTTGTGCATTCTCTTTAGTATATATATATATTTTTTTATTTTCTAACTTTTATTCTTCTTTATGTTTCTGTTTCTATTTTATTTTTATTGTTACCATCATTCCATTATTTTTTGTTATTACTTTTGTTATTATATTATTATTATTTTATTATTATTATTATTATTATTATTCCTACAATTGTTAATTTCTATGAATATGACAAAGAATAATAATAATGACTTTAAAGATAATAACAATACAATCAATGATGACAGTAAGAAGAGAAATGTCGCTCCTGTCGACTTACCATTACAGTCTCTGGCGTTGAGGTCGCCGCCGTTCTCCGCCAGGAATTGGACGACAGAAAGGTGTCCGTTCCTGGCAGCGAAGTGAAGGGCGGTCCATTCTGCGGGAGGAAGAAGCTTGTGTCAACCGTCGTGTTGATGGGTGGTGGGAATGAGGATGGAAATGGAAGCGAAAGGGAGGATGAAAAGGGGGATGGGCATCATAGTAAGGAGGAAGTAAGGAAGAGTGAGAACTAGGAAGGAAGAGGAAGGAATGGAAAAGAAGAGAAGGGATAAAGAGAGAATAACAGTGGGAAGGAGGGAATGGAGAGAGATGAAAGAGTGAAGGGAAGAACGAAGAGCGGAGGAGACACGGAGAAGAATAATGAAAAGGGAATAAAGAAAAAGAGCAGAAAGTAGGAGAGAAGGAAGAGGCATAAAAGGGAGTAAGAGAGAGAAATAAGAATGGAAAAAGAAGAAGAGGAAAGAGTGAATGGGAGGTAGAGAAGAGAGTGATGGAGAAAAAAAGAGGAAGAAAAGAGAAAAAAAAATGTCAGTAAAGGAATAGAGAGATGAAGGAAGGAAGAGAGAAAATAGAGAAGAGTCAAGACAGAGAAAAGATGTAAGGAAGGAAAATGAAAGTGGAGAGTAGAGAAAGACAAAAAAGATGAAGAGGAGAAAGGGGTGGGAGTGGGTGAGAGATTCAAAAGAAGAGAAATGGAGAGAAAGTGGATAAGAAAAGTAAACAAAGAGGAAAGATGGATGTAGGCCTACTAAATGAGGATGGTCAAAATGGTTAACCTCATGTGCGTGTGTTTACGTACATATGATCGTCCTTGAAAATCATGAACACCCAGTGACCATCCCCCTCCCCCTGGCTAAGACAAACTGGTAATAAATCAATAAATAAAATAAATCAATAAAAATCTATCCATGACTTTTTGAGTTATGTTAACCGACAGACAAACCAACGGACAAGGAAACTAACCAACGCTGATGATTGCAATAATGATAATAATAATAGTGACAACAATGATAACGATAACAATAAGAACAATTATAACAATAGAAATTTAGTCATTAATAATAATAACAATAATGATAATGATATTATTGATATTATCCTTATTATGATACTTCATTATTTTTTTTTACTATTTTAATGATAAAGAATAATAATACTGATAAAAAACAAGAATATAACCAAAAACAATTGCAAGAATAGAATTGTTGCTCCTGTTGCCTTACCGAAGCGTTATCATTATTATCATTATTATTGTTTGATTTTCTTTTATTATCATCTTTCTTCTTTTGCTACTTCATTTATCTTCATATTTTTATTGTTTTGGTGTTTTATTTGTGCATTCTCTTTTAGTATAAATATTTTTTTATTTTCTAACTTTTATTCTTTATGTTTCTGTTTCCTTTTTTTTTATTACCATCATCATTCCATTATCATTATTATCGTTATTACTTTTATTATTATTATTATTATTATTATTATTATTATTATTATTATTATTATTATTATCATCATTACAATTGTTACTTTCTATGAAAATGACAAAGAATAATAATAATGACTTTAAAGATAATAACAATACAATCAATGATGACAGTAAGAAGAGAAATGTCGCTCCTGTCGACTTACCAAGCCAGTCTCTGGCGTTGAGGTCGCCGCCCTTCTCCGCCAGGAATTGGACGACAGAAAGGTGTCCGTTCCTGGCAGCGAAGTGAAGGGCGGTGTTGTCTGCGGGAGGAAGAAGCTTGTGTCAACCGTCGTGTTGATGGGTGGTGGGAATGAGGATGGAAATGGAAGCGAAAGCGAGGATGAAAAGGGGGATGGGCATCATAGTAAGGAGGAAATAAGGAAGAGTGAGAACTAGGAAGGGGGAGGAAGGAATGGAAAAGAAAAGAAGGGATAAAGAGAGAATAACAGTGGGAAGGAGGGAATGGATAGAGATGAAAGAGTGAAGGGAAGAACGAAGAGCGGAGGAGACAGAGAAAAATGATGAAAAGGGATTAAAGAAGAAGAGCAGAAAGTAAGAGAGAAGGAAGTGAGGAAAGGAATATGAGAAAAAGGGAGTAAGAAAGAGAAAGAAGAATAGAAAAAAGGGGAAAGAGTGAAAGGGATTGATGGAGAAAATAAGAGGAAGAAAAGAGAAAGGAGAAAAAAATGTCAGTAAGGAATAGAAAACAGAGAAAAGACAAGGAGAAAGACGACAGAGAAAAGATGTAAGGAAGGAAAATAAGAGCGGAGAGTAGAGAAAGACAAAAAAGATGAAGAGGAGAAAGGGGTGGGAGAGGGTGAGAGACTCAAAAGAAGAGAGAAATGGAGAGAAAGTGGATAAGAAAAGTAAACAAAGAGGAAAGATGGATGTAGGCCTACTAAATGAGGATGGTCAAAATGGTTAACCTCATGTGCGTGTGTTTACGTACATATGATCGTCCTTGAAAATCTTGAACTCCCAGTGACCATCTACCCCCCCCCCGCTAAGACAAACCTCTGGTAATAGATAAATAAATAAAGAAAAATAAACCAATAAAAATCTATCCTTAACTTTTTGAGTTATCCTGTTAACCGACAGACAAACCAACGGACAAGGAAACTAACCAACGCTGATGATTGCAATGATGATAATAATAATAGTGACAACAATGATAACGATAACAATAAGAACAATTATAACAATAGAAATATTAGTCATTAATAATAATAACAGCAATGATAATGATATTATTGATATTATCCTTATTATGATACTTCCATTATTTTTTTTCATTACTATTTTAATGATAAAGAATAATAATGATAAAAAACAAGAATATAACCAAAAACAATTGCAAGAATAGAATTGTTGCTCCTGTTGCCTTACCGAAGCGTTATCATTATTATCATTATTATTGTTTGATTTTCTTTTATTATCATCTTTCTTCTTTTGCTACTTCATTTATCTTCATATTTTTTATTGTTTTGGTTTTTATTTGTGAATTCTCTTTTAGTACAAATATGTTTTTATTTTCTAACTTTTATTCTTTATGTTTCTGTTTCCTTTTTTTTTATTACCATCATCATTCCATTATCATTATTATCGTTATTACTTTTATTATTATTATTATTATTATTATTATTATTATTATTATTATTATTATTATTCCTATTATCATCATTACAATTGTTACTTTCTATGAAAATGACAAAGAATAATAATAATGACTTTAAAGATAATAACAATACAATCAATGATGACAGTAAGAAGAGAAATGTCGCTCCTGTCGACTTACCAAGCGGTTCTGGCGCGTTGAGGTCGCCGCCCTTCTCCGCCAGGAATTGGACGACAGAAAGGTGTCCGTTCCTGGCAGCGAAGTGAAGGGCGGTCCTTTCTGCGGGAGGAAGAAGCTTGTGTCAACCGTCGTGTTGATGGGTGATGGGAATAAGGATGGAAATGGAAGCGAAAGGGAGGATGAAAAGGGGGATGGGCATCATAGTAAGGAGGAAGTAAGGAAGAGTGAGAACTAGAAAGGGGGAGGAAGGAATGGAAAAGAAAAGAAGGGATAAAGAGAGAATAACAGTGAGAAGGAGGGAATGGAGACAGAGGAAAGAGCGAAGGGAAGAACGAAGAGTGGAGGAGACACGGAGAAGAATGAGGGGAAAAGAAGTTGGAAAAAGTGATGGAGAGAAAAAGAGGAAGAAAAGAGAAAAGAGAAAAAATGTCAGTAAAGGAATTGAGATGAAGGAAGGAAGAGAGAAAATAAAAAAAGATGAGACAAGGAGAAAGAGGACAGAGAAAAGATGTAAGGAAGGAAAGTGAGATTGGAGTAGAGAAAGACAAAAAAAGATGAAGAGGAGAAAGGGGGGGGGGTGAGAGAAAGAGCTGAACACATGATAGTGAGGGGGATGGTGGGGAGAAAGTGGGGGAAAGGGAGAGAAAAAGGTAGAGGAAAGAGTGGGGAGGAGGAAGTGAGGTACAGGAAAGAAGAGGAGAGAGAGTGGAAGGAAGGAAGTGAGAGACGGGAAAGCTGGAAGAGGAAAGACAGTAGAATAAGGGTGAGCTAGAGAAACAGAGAAGAAAGAGAGATACAGAGAATTAGAAAGAAGAAAAGAGAAGGAGAGTAAAAGGACGAGGACAAAGAAAGAAAAAAAAACGAGAGACAGGGAAGAGGAAGATAACGAATAGAGTGAAGAAACAAGGAAAAAGTAAAAGAGAGAGAGAGCAAAGTAGAGGAAAATAGCTATCATTATGGTCTTTTTATTTCAACTGAACTAGTATTTGTAAATAATAGAAATAACAATAACACGAGCAACAAGAGTTATAAAAGTAAAACTATAAATGATTATACCAAGAATGATTAAAACATTCATAAAAAAGATATCATATGACAAAAACAATGACAATAAAAACAATAATAACACTAGTGATAAAATAATGAAAGTAATGATAATAATGATGAACATAATAAGGATAATCATAATAATGACAATGATAATAATAATAACAAAGATATGATATTAATGATTTTCATGATTATAATAGCGTAAAAAAATACTGCTAATAGCAATAGATATAATAATAACAATGGCAATGATAATCATCATCATAAATAAAGAAAAATAATTATCAAAATTATAATAATAATGAAATCAATAAGGATAATACTGATAGCAATGTCAATTGTAATAGCAACGATAGATAAGGATGATGATAAATAAGATTAGACATAATAATAATGACAATGATAATGATGATAATTATAATGTCAATGATAATAACAATAATTATAGTAACATTAATGATAATAAGAATATTCATAATAACAACAAAAATAACTGTAATAACAACAATAACAATAACAATAATCATCATTATCATAAAAAATAAATAAAAATCAAACTATATATCATAAACGAAAGATAAGGGGAAACTTCAAGAGAAGGATTCTCTGCACAACGACGCAGCGACAAGAGCGACAGAACCGGATTCGTGGAGCCGCGACGCCTTCAGTAGCGCTGCTGTCGCCTCGCCACGCGTGTCCTTGGCAGAGGAGGAGCAGCGGAGGAGAGAAGGAAACAGGAAAGGGAAGAGGAGAGAATGATAATGGGGGGAGAAGAAGGGAGTAGGTAATAGTGGAAAAGGAAAAGGAAAGAGAGAGAGGAGAGGAGAAAACATGAAGAACAGAAAGAGAGGAAAGGAGGAAGAGGAAAAAGAGTGAGAAAGGTTGAGTTAAAAGGGAGAAAATTAAGAAGAAAGGAAAGGAGGTAGCAAAGATAAAGAGAAAAAATAAGAGGTGAGGTAGTGACGTAGTAGGAAGAACAAGAAAAGGAAGGGAGAAGAGGGCGAAAGATGGAAGGAAGAATAGGAATAAGAGAGGGGAATTGTGAGGATAAGAAGTGGAAAGAGGAATAGGAAAAGGAAAGAGAGCAAAAGAGGGAGGTAAGAAGAGACAAAAGAGAAGGAGAAGAAGAAAGAAGGGATAAAGAAGAGATAGAAAGGAAGGAAAGAGGGAGAGAAATGAACGGGAAGGGGATAGAGTGAGGAAGGGAGGAAGAAGAGAAAGAGAGGAAGGGAGGGCGAGGAGAGAAAGAGAAAAACTGGGGAAGAGGAGAGAGAGAGGAATATGTGAGAGGGGGCTCAGCATAAAGAAGAGAAATACGAAGAAAAGAAAGAAAATTAGGAAGACAGAGAGAGGAATAGGAGAGAAAAAAAGAAAAGAAGTGGGAGAGGAATAAGAAATAACAGAGCAAGAATAATGACGAAAACAATAACAATAAGAACAATGAAAATAATAATGATTATGAATAATGATGCGAATAATAGTAACAAATATAGTAAAACAATCAACTAAATGATAAGCTAAGAATAATTATGATAAGAATTATGAAATGATAATAATAAGAACGAAAGCAGTAGGAAGTAAAGATACACTGAAAGTATCAGCGTTAGTAATTGATTTAAATATAGGTGAACTAACAAAACTTTAGAAAGGGAAAATCAAAGCCGGTCTTAATATTTAAAAAAAAAAAAATATAGATAGTAATAGCGGCCTCAGATATTTTGGTGACATCAACGATAATTATGGCAAGATCACAATCAGTCATTAATAT